GGAGGGAGGGAGGGAGGGAGAGGGAGAGAGAGGAGAGAGACACACAGAGAGACAGAGAGAGAGAAACAGGGAGAGCAAAGAAGGAGCACTAGGCCAGTGTGAGATCTGAGAGAAAGAGAGACAGAGACACAGAGACAGAGAGAGACAGAGACACAGAGAGAGAGAGCCAGGGAGAGCAACGAAGCAGGAGAGGTGTGGAACACAAAAAAAAATGTGTCTCCTCAAAATATAAAGACTACTGAGCTGAAGAGAAGGGGCACATAGATGCAGGGCAGCTTTCCTGCGTTCCCTCTGTTTGCCTTAGACCAAGGCATTTGTAAAGAATTTGTATCTGCATGGCCATGGCTGTCTGGCAATGAGAACAGTTGTGATTTACTCACCCAAGATCATCACCAGATCCGACCCATTGGCATGTGATCCCCAGTGGCCTGCCTCTTCCACAGCCTATACAAGCACGTTAAGGTTGCTCGGGCCAGAGGGTCTGAGGAGTGTTGAGGGGACAGCAACTTCAGTGGTGTTGCCTCCTGTGTGTTGCCCGTGTTCCTGCAGGCCACCCCTCACCCATGCTGCTCTAAGTAACTGCAATCAATTTCATCGTTCACAAATCTAGACTTCAGTGGAATCATTTCTTTTGAGTCTGTCCTTGTCACCCCATCTGGAGAGAATCATTTGCTGCTGTCTCCCTAGGGAAAGTCAACAGGAAGTGAATTTATTCTGAGCCAAATATGAATGGCCATAGTTTTGGGAGACAGATTCAAGTTGCCCTGAATGGCATGTTCCACCATGGAAGAGGTTAGTTGAACATTTATAATCACAGAATAAAATAAAGTCATAATTTAGGATGTCTGATGGGGGAAGTGCTTCTGTGTATGCGTTTGTCTTATTGGATGATAAATAAAGTACTGTTTGGCCAATGAGGCAACAAGTTAGGCGGGATTAGGAGTCAAGGAGGATTCTGGGAAGTGGTGATCCAGGCAGGAAGTGACATAGCAGAGAGACTCATATATAAGTAAGGGCAAGAAGGAAGTCGTTCCCTTCTCTCTTCCTCCTTCTCTCTGCTCTGAGCCACCATGTGGTCCTGGGATGAGGACACCAGTGGAAGGCGTCTTACATAAAATAAGTCTTATAAAATATATATTTATGATAATTAAGACTGAGCTAGCAGATGAGAATCCTAGTCATTGGCCAAGGAGCATTTGTACCTAATATAAGTCTCTCTGTGTTACTTGGGACCTTAATGTGGGCTTGGTGCGTGCTCTTCCTTCCCTGTGTTCTTTGATCAGTATCAAATCACTAAAAGAAGTTCTCAAAGAGCAGGAAAATTATTCCTTGGAAGCTGCTGGAAGTGGTGATGGGTTTTAAGAACATCATGCTAGGTGAAATAAGCCAGTCCAAGACTGCATGTTATATGACTGTGCACACACGACACATCCAGAACTAGAAAACACGTAGGGATGGAAAAGGATTTGATGGTGGGGTGGGGCATTGAGAAGTGACTGTTTTCAATATGGATATAGAGGAAAATGGTCTCAATATGGACGTGGTGCTGGCTACACAGCTCTGTGGCTATATTAACACTAGCGAATCACAAACTTTAAACGGGTGAAATGCAAAAAAAGAAAAGGAAAGAAGAGCAGAGAAAGGAAAACAGATGGTTCTGGGGCTGGAGAGATGTCTCAGTGGTTAAGCACACCCAGACTTGTTTCCCCAGCACTGATACAGTGGTTCACAGCCACCTGTAACTGCTGCTCCAAGGATCTGACATTCTCTTTTGGCCT